TGCATGCCGAACCTTACCCGCCGCCCCCTCCCCCGCGGAATGGGATACCTGGAAGCTCAAACTCAGCAATCAACTTAAGCAATTCTCCAGCCACGAGCGGCGGCGCGTCGCAAAAACCACGACATTATTACAGACCCGCATCTGTCACCTCCAACTCCTCCAAGCATCCCCCCGGGCCAACCTCCACCAAGCTGCCCTCCTCGCAAAACTCACCCAACAGTTTGAAACCTACGAAGCAGCACGTGTAGCCGAGCTCGCACTTAAAGCCAAAATCAAGGTGGAAGGCCACCGCGAGATGGGAATCTCCTCCCTCCTCGCAGGTGTCAACACCCGGCGTAAAGCTGAACACATTCCCGCACTCCGGCTCGCTTCTGGAGCCACGACCTCCAATCTGGCCGACATGGCCGGCCTCTGCACCGCCTTTTTCCAAACCCTTTACAGCGGAGCCACCACCATCAGCCGTGACAACACCTTCTGGCAGCATATTCCCCCGTCTCAGCTCTGCCCTTGCAACCTGGCACAACTTTCAGCACCCTTCTCACTGCTCAAAGTTGACAAAGGCATCGCCTCCCTTGCTGGTGGAAAGACCCCAGGGCCGGACGGCATCCCGGCCGATTTCTACAAACGCTTCCGAACAACCTTCACCCCCGCCTTTCTCAAGCTCTTCTCGGCAACAACACATTCCAATGCACTGCCACCTTCCATGCTATGTGGGCGCACCATCCTCATTCCCAAGAAAGGTGACTCAACACTAGTCGACAACCTGCGGCCCATCACCCTAATGAATGCGGACTACAAGATCCTAGCCATCTGTCTTGCTAATAGGCTTCAAGCGGTCCTCCCAACAATCATCCACTCCTCCCAAACTACCTTTATTAAAGGCCGCAAGATCGGGGATACAATCAATGACACGCTTGATATAATGGGCTGGGCCACCACCTGACACCTCCCACTTCTCGCCCTCTCCGTAGACATTCGAAAGGCCTACGACATGATCGACCGACCCTTCCTCCTTGCGTGTCTCCCCCACTTAGGAATCCCACCCCCCTTCATAAATTGGGTCCGTATAATGCACTCCAACACCACCACCCGCGTATCGGTCAACAACCACGCCGGCCCAGCATTCCCGGTCCACACAGGTGTGCGGCAAGGCTGCCCGCTGGCACCTCTCCTCTTCATCTGTACTATTGAAATATTCCGAAGGCATATGTCCCTTCACCTTCCCGGCTTTACCATCTCCCGCCAGAAACGCACGCTCATGGCCTGCTACGCAGATGATGTGAGAATATTTCTCAACTCCAACCATGAGCTCCAGATCGCCTCCACCTCGCTGCTGTCCTACACGGCGTTGTCTGTAGAATATCCTAACTGGACCAAATGCTCTGTCATTCCATTCAACTTCCCGTCCGCTCAAATAACAGGGGTGGGCCTAATCCCCATCAAGCTCGACAGCGTTGCGGAACGCATCCTTGGCATTTACATTGAACCGGACGCACCCGGATACACAACATGGGATAAAACCATGGCACGAATCCAGACCACCGCCTGATACCTCGCCCGGCTTAGATGCACCACCACTTGCCGCAAACGCATGGCGTCTGAATATCTGAACTCGGTCATTTCCTTCCCAGGCCGCTTCCAACCTCCTCCTCCCTCAATCACCTCCCGGCTTAATACAGTCGTTAGTAATTTTCTTTCCTCCTCGAGGTTCAAAGACCACGGTCTAGTCACAAGGCTCGTACCCAACTGTCTGCTCTACAACTCTACCCGGCACGGCGGCATCGGGGCAATCCAATCTGCTGCACAGATTACTGCCCTAAACGCGCAGCGAGCACTCCGCCGCTTTGTCCCCACATCAGTAGCGTCCGTAGCTAGGGAGTGCTCCCCGCTGCCATACGGCCTACACAGCTTCCTCCTACACAAAGAAGTTCTCTCCGCCCTGCCTGCTGACACCCCGCCCCGAGCACGAGCAGAGCTCCACGGCCTTTTGGCTCTGTACCTCATCATCCTCCCCCCTCGCCTCGAAACCAGCTGTCTGCTGGCAGAACCCCTCGCCTTCAACCGTCACATACTCAAACAATCCGGTCGTCCCTATGGGAAACGAAAAAACAAGCGCTTCCTGATTACCACCGAACTCCGGCTGGGCCACGTAATCCAACCCCTCTGTACAGGATTCCGTAGGCTCTCCGACCCTGAGATCCTCCAAGCCTTTCCCACCTCCACGTACCCCAGTGCACGATGAATTGTCCGCGAATTGCTAAATGCCGTACCGGACGAATGGTGGAATACACTGGCCCCTGCGGCTGCTGCATCAACCCTTATTCAACCCGGGGATTGGGTCATCCCCACCGCTCCACCTGCCAAAATCCCCCCCCTTATTTATCAAGTCACTGAAATCCGCCCACATTACTCCATTGTCGCCCGCCCTCACTCTGTCAACGCAGACCTCCGTATCGACAGAGAGGCAGGTAACTCCTGCATCCTCCCCCTCTTCGTCGTCACTGCCATCTATGTAAAGGGCTGTTGGTTGGCTGGCCCTTCTTACATAGGAGCAGGCCTGGGGGCGCGGCTAGAGATACTACAGGATGGGGAACCTACACTCGCCGACTTACATAGCCGCCTCTACGTACAACAACCACTCACATACCGTGACCGTTGGAACGCCGCCCTCCCTGCCATCCTGCCTCTTCTCCTTCCTGACCTCACGCATGAATTCCTCAAAGATAAAACCAGCCTCCATTGTGACCTCCTCTTCAGATTTTACACCCGCTCACTCCCCTCTGGTGCACCGCAGACAGAGGCATATGTACACGCTGCTCTGCTGGCGTCACGGAGACCCTCACACACATTTTCTTTGATTGCGGTGCTGCGAGACCAATCACCGCAGCTCTCCTGCACGTCACTTTTTGCCACCTCGGAGTCCGCATCTTCCCTGTACAATCCCTCTTTCCCCTCCACACCAGGGTCGGGCAATCAGTCCCATGGAGCCTGCTCGTGGGAGCAGCCGCCAAGACCATCTGGAACGCCCGCTGCAATCACAAGTTTAATGAGATCACGACTCACATGCTCGAAAGTCTCCACGCTGTCCTCGCAGCCTTCCTACTCTCCTGCAAAATTTTCATCCGGCGGTCTACTACACAGTCCACGAAAAAACAGCTCCGATTTGCCCACCGAATAAAGCGCGCCAAACAACTTCGCTTCCTCCTCCTACCGAGCGAGTTCTCCCCTTCCATCCATCCTGATCTTCATAAATCCTGGCTGTTCAATGAGGCCTTCCGCCCACCCTAGGTCCCCCTCCCCCGCACCTGCCCTATACGCATGTCAATGCTGAACGGATGGCATTCTCCCGCCTCCGCTATACCTTCGTTTAGAAGGATAACGTGTGTCCACGTGCTCCCTATAGGGTGCTGGCATCCCGCCATTTCCTTTTCTGCGTTGTTTTTGTAACATTTACGACTGAAATATAACCTTCACCTTAACCTTAACCTGGGATTTTGGCGAATCACAAAGCGAAAAAAATGTCGCTGCAGTGATTGTGGATCTACCTGGCGGATCGTTTAAGATCCGAAAAATCAACGTTAGTCAAGGCGAAATCCAGCAACAACAGAAGGACTCGGCGCTGACTAGGAGAAATCATTACACGAATCTACACGCCAAGGACCAGATTTTGTAAAGGGAAATCGCCTAGGAGCAGAAAACCTCCGCGAAACTGCACCCGACCGATCTGGGAAACCACGGGAAAGACCCTATTTCACCCGAAAATAATCTTTCTTTTTTCTATGAACAAGTTTTACTTCAGAATGAAATTAAAGCGAGAGGTCAAAATAGTGAAGGCGGGTCCAACTTGAAAAGGCCCAGACGTCCGTTTTTGCGACTAAGGGACAAAACTGCGACGGGGCAGATGGTACACTGTTGAGAAATGCAAGCCGGGGAATCTAGGTGAGAAGATACAGTTACTTGATTGGTTGGCGGGGAAAACATGATGTACGGTGGGGAAATGGCTCGGGCAAAATCGCAAGCAGCGCACCACCTGTTGCCCAGCCCCCACTGCTTGTAAGCTGCACCAAGTGGGCCCAAATTGAATTTCAAGTTGGACCCGGGTTCACTACTCCAGCAAAACTGAGGCTGGGCCCCCATTGGTCGAAATGTTAACCACACAAATCTATTGTCGTAAAATTTGTCGCCATTGCGAAATGTCGCAAGCGCAATTCAATTTCGTGGCCTACGGCTTGGTAAAAAACGGGAACTACTGCCCGCCCCTCCAAAACAAATTCACCGTTGGGTTGTTTCTAGTTGGGCCCAACTAGAAAGGGGGGTCACTATTATAATCTCTCGCTTTAAGGGCTCTAATTCCAAGAAGGACTTTAATTGAAGGAGAAACCTCCAAGAAATTAAGGGCTTTAATAATCATAAAATTCCAAGAAGGACTCCAATTGAAGCAAAAACCTCTGGAAATTATTCCAGTGCCAGTGAACCTTGGGGGAAAATGAGAAGAAGTCTAAGCAACTCGCCCCTTTGTCGGAGTCAATATCCTTTCTCAGAACCAGCCTTCAACGCCACCACGGACCCCAAGCGGAGCGGCTACATGGCTGAAGCAGCTGAGGGGGAAGCTGGAGATCCAAAGGAAGCTGCAACAACCTCGAATCCCACCTTCGACGTCAACACCAGCAGCGACACGGACGTGTGCTTACCCTACACCAACCAATAGGCCAAGTGTGGATACGCCTCTCACACATCACTTGCATATCACACCTACTGCAGCAGCTGCACCATTAGAATCTAGTGGATCCATTAGTACCCACAAGTCCTCCACCTCTGTACCCTTTGACCCTCTTAGTGGAAAGGTTCTCAACTATACGGGGGAGTCCAAACCTCCTCTGCTCTTGATAGTAGTATGCAACGGCCAGAGACTTAAGGCCTTAGTGGATAGCGGAGCCTCCCATACAGTTTGCTCCGACACCACCATCAAACGTCTCGGCTTCAGCAGCAAACCTTCCCACTTTACGGCGACAATGGTGGATGGCATGGAGTTACCAGTACGCGGCGAAACGCGGCTACAACTCTACATTGGACCAATACGTTGGGCACCCATTGCACCAGTTACCTGATTACAAGGAGTGGACCTAATACTCGGGAGGGATTTCTTGAAGCAGTTCAACCCTACAATCAATTGGCGGCAGGGGACGTCCACGCATAAAAATAAAAATCAGTCTATCGAGATACCAACTTGGGACGACAGGGGAGATGTACCAACTATCCCGTGGGTACGATTCTCCAAGGAGCTGAAGAAAGCAGAGCAGTGTTACACAGTGCTGGTTATCAAAGTAGACGACACCGAATTGGAGCTACCTGAGGAACTTCCTAGCGCCATCAAAGGGGTTCTCCAGGAATTCAAGGACGTGTTACCCGACGACCTATCGGCGGGCATACTACCAGCACGTGCACACTAGCACGAGATCGTGGAGGAACCTGGTTCTAAACCAACCGTCCGACCTCCGTACCGCCTCAGTCCACCTGAGCTAGCGGATATGAAGAAGCAGATTGAATACGTGCTGGAGAAGAAGCTGATCCAACTGTCAACATCACCTTACGGAGCACCTGTACTCTTCACACCAAAACCTGATGGATCATTGCGGATGTGCATCGACTATAAAGCGCTCAACAAGCTGACCATCAAGAACAGATATCATATTCCAAGGATAGACGACCTGCTGGACCAGCTTCGAGGGGCCACAATTTTTTATAAACAGGACCTTCGTTCAGGATATTGGCAAATTCGGATGGCGGATAATTCTATCCACAAAACTGCCTTTCGGACGCGCTATGGCTCCTAAACCCTAAACCTACGAAAACTACGAAAACTCTAGGGAAGGGAAACTAGGACCTTCTAAGAGAGTTCTAGAAATGAGTTGAACCGTCCCTAGGAAAACCTTCTAAAAGCACGGTAGGGATTCTAGAGATACGGTGACACTGGCGGAACACTCCTTACAATAGAAAATGTGCCATGCAAGGTAGTCTAAAATACTCTAACACATACAGGCCCTCAGATTTCAAAGTAAAACAACATAAAAGCCTAATTTTTAGGGTGTGATTTGTTAGCTGACCCTAAGATTTCAGGTTATGCATCATAGTTTGGCCTGTTAATTCAGGTAGTTCATTCTGTAAGGCCCTGTACTTTCAGAGTGTTCTGGTCCATTTAGCCCTGAGACCTGAGGGTATTGGGTACAGCCCAGATTTAGCCTCCCTGTACACACAAGAGGTGTTACTTGCTGGATACCCATATTCCCGCCCTGGAATCTTGTCAACGCTCACATGTCACCCGTGTTCATTGGGTTCTGTTTGCAGCATGAGATTGTTCTGCCCGTCCACGCCTACACCTACAGACCTGCACACCGCAATCTCTATTAAGGATTTTAGCATAGCCCACATAACGCATGCTGCAAGGCGCGCTGTATGTCTGGCATGCAACGCAAGCCATTTACAGCCTTGAGAGTTCAGGGTCTTGCGACTGGAGGCCCTGTAAAGATAGGGTGTTCATGAAGTACAAACCCTGACAGGTGCACGTTTTTCAGATGGTATGCCCTGAGGGCTCAGGGTGCCCAATTTTGAATCTAAAGCCCTGAAGACATATGATATATAATATATCAATGTGTAGGAAAGAGTGTAGGGGTTTCCAGAAAATGAAGAACACACATATTAGCACACAATAAATAGCAAATAGCAGATGGATGTGCTCAAGGATTCGGCAAGCCTCATCCTCTCACAATACTGGCTGTGCATTTGCTACTCTATACCTGCTGTTTTGTTACATTTGCTGATTGGCCTTTTGGCCCTTGTCTCATTGGTCAGACTAGTAGTGCTGCACATAACTGTCTTGATACATGCACCAGAGGCCAAAGTAGTGGTGCTGCACTGGATTCCTATATCTTGTTAGACTCTGCTCCCTTGCCCAGGCTAGGGGGTGTGTGAATGTTCATATATGAGTTAGATAACATACGAACTATAATCTAGCTAGGGTTCTGACTTATAGAGTTGTTTGATATACCCAGCTGTATTGCCCAGCCTAGTTAATTTTTTCCTCTCGACAGAGTCCACCATTTTGCGGAAGATTTGGGCAGCTTTCGGCACGCTGGCATTTCTAACACAGTCGTGGCTGTAGAGGCAACTATTGATTAGCATTACACAGACAGCGAATGTGCAGTAAGCACAGGCATCATCCTCCCTAAGCATCGGTATTGTAGCAGAACTAGTGCGCAAGGCTGAGGATCGTTGGCTCTGATGACCAGGTGTAATAATGCCCAAATAGCGAGGGTCGAATAATTGAGTAGCGAGGAAACAATACAATGAGGCAACATCCAAAAAACAGGGAGCCTGGATATAGCTAGGCCTGGAGCATATGGTGGACGCTCGGAAGAGCTAACACGTTGACAACATATACATTTGTTGTTACAGGCTAGATAGGTGCATGCTTGTAGAGAGTACAACATACAAGCATAAGATCACCCTGTTAGAATACTAGAAAGATAAGAAACAAGGGTGAAGAAGGGAAATATAGGGTTGGAGTTGTACACTACATACTAACATACACCTATCTAGCCTATAATTTCTACATACTAACATATGTATAACTTGCCACACCCCCTTGGCTAGATAAGGGGTAGTGCAGAGAAACAAACACACAGCTTAGGGTGGCACTACTAGTCCAACCTCGAAGGCAGGGGTTTGAAGACCAGTCAACAAGAGTACAAACAAGACAAGAGCAAACCAGGGCAGCACTACTAGTTTGGCCACTAGAAGAGAAGTCACAAGGCCAGTCTTGAAGGTATAAATATAGAGGAGTACACAATCAAGGTCCTAGCAAGTGAGAGTCTACAAGAACTAGACCAAGCTGCAAACAGTGCCGCTGATGATCTTTAGGCGCAAGCGCCTTAGTAAAGATATCAGATGTGTTGGCACCGGAGGCCAAGCGTACTACGCGGGCCTGGCGACGCTGCTGTAGCTCACGCAGGAGGAAGTACTGCAGCTGGATGTGATTCGATCTGCCCTCAAGTCGAGGCTCCCGACACAGGAGGATCATGGTCTGTTATCAGCGTACAGAATCGGGGCAGAGCTAGGCGGCTCACCTAAGTCAGCGAGCAAGAAGTTCAGCCAGCGGAGCTCCTGTGCCGCCATGGCACCAGCGTATATCTCACCCTCACAGCTAGACTGGGCAACAGACGAGGAGCGAGTGGACCTCCACGAGATGGCCCCTGAACCAAGGATAAAGCAGTAGCCCTGGGAGGACCTGAGGGTCTTAGCGTCGTCTGCCCAAGTAGCGTCTGTGTGCCCTGTAAGGACCACTGGCCTGCATCCTCCTAGCACTAACCCCATGCCCGATGTACTTGCTAGATAACGCAAAACCCTCTTAGCAGCCAACCAGTGCTGTGGTCGGTGTCTGCCTGTGGCCACAAAGCGAGACAGGATGCTGAGGGGGTATGCGAGATCTGGACGAGTGCGAGTCATCAGGTACGTGAGGCAACCCACCAGCTCTACGTAAGGACCACTGGGCTCTACAGACTCCTGAAGAATTGGAGCAGAGAGCCTGTGATCTACTGGCAGAGGTGTGGGCTGTGCGGAGGAGAAGTGAAGACCGAACCTCTAAAGGACCTGGCGCACCAAGTGTGACTATGTGAGAGTGATGGTGTGCACTGCTCTGTCCCTGGAGATCTGCAGACCAAGGTAGCGGCGCAGATCTCCTAGCACAGTGCAGGTGTGTCTCCTCAGGAGCTCGGCCTTCACAAAGGCCAGTGCGTCTCTGTCTGCAGTAGCAAAGACCAGGTCGTCTATGTAGACAAGGATGTAGAACGGAGTCTGGCCAGCACCAACGAAGAGCGACGGGTCAGCAAAGGACGGAAAGAACTGCAGGTCAGCTAGCGTAGCACGCAGCATGTCGTGCCACTCACGGGGCGCCTGTCACAGGCCGTAGACCGGGCGTCAGAGGAGCCACTGGGTCCTAGCAGGGAAGGTACCGGTGAAGCACTGCGGACGGCGCAGGTAGACTTGCTCATGTAGGCTGCCCTGAAGAAAAGCAGTGGAGAAGTCTAGGGAGTGGAGCTCGTAGTCACGCTGTGCTGCTACATGTAGCAGCCTTCGAAGAGTAGTCATCTTCGGGGTCGGGGCGAAGGTCTAAAAGAAGTCCACCCCCTCGCGCTGTCTGAAGCCTCTAGCCACGTAGCGCGCCTTGAACACAGGCGGCTCTCCAGAGGGGCGCTGCACCTTGAAGAGCCATCGGCCATCGATTACGTTCACCCCAGGTGGAGGAACTTCGTCGACGTAGGTGCTGGTGGATCTCCAAGATGCCATCTCCGCATCCATGGCAGCTATCCAGTGAGAGGCTCAGGGTCCCGAGGTCGCCTCAGCGTAAGTGCGAGGGGTCAGGATGTCACAGGCGTCTGGGTCACCCTCAGGGACTAGCAGCATGGAGCAGAGATGGGGAGCAGCCACGGACAGAAAATCAAGGTCGTACAGCCTGTCCTCTAGGACGTCACTGCCAAGGGCAGGAGCACTACCAACGGACGGAGGACAGGTAGGGTCAGAGACCAGAGCGGTGGCATAGTCAAGGCGGCGGGTAGAGGCAAAGTTAGCGATAGCAAGGACGAGAGCATCAAGACTCGAGAGAGGAACAGACGGGTCGGTAACGAGGGAGGCAAGGACCCGAGGAACAAGAGGACGGGCAGCACGAAGGTAGTCAGACAGAGGGGAGGCGCGACAGCGAGCGACGACGGAGGAGGCGAAGGTAGGAGCTGAGCAGGGGCTACTTTGGGAGTTGGAACCAGAAACAGGGGTGGGGAAACCGGGAGACCTCGCTGGGGAAAGCAGTGGTAAAAGGAGACAGAATCGTCGAAAGTAGCATCACGGGAGTAAATGAAGCGGTGAGATGGCGGGTGGTAAAAGTGCCAGTCAGAAGAGTCAAGGGGGAAACCAAGGAAGAGGTAGGGTACAGTGGGGGCAGTTAGCTTGTCTGTGCTAGAGGCACGAACGTGAGCGAGGCTGTCCCAAACATGGAACGCAGACCCGTCACCAGGGTACCCGGTCCAAAGAAGGGTCGGCGATGTGGCCGCTGGGAGTGCGGGCAGAGGTTAAGCTGGTGAGCGGCGTAGCAAACAGCAAATGGCCACAGAAAATGGGGTGCACCGGCATGAATCGTGGAGGTACGAGCCACCTCCATGACCAAGCCGATGCGTCGCTCAGCGATCCCATCTTGCTGGGGGGAGTCCGGTAGGGTGTACGACTGGGTGATGCCCTCCGCACGACAGAACTGTCCAAGCCGACCAAAGGCGAACTCGCTGCCATGGTCGGAGTGGAGACACAGCACAGGGTGACCGCGGTGGAGGCGCGCAGCTACGACCCAGGGGATAAGAACGTCGAGCACGTTGGCCTTCCGCTCCATGGAAAACACCGTGGTTTAGCGCGTGTAGTCGTCAACGAGCACTAGAAAGTAGCACTTGCGACGCGGTCCAGGGACGGGGGCTGGGCCCCAGACGTCCAGGTGCAGGGTCAGGAGGGGTGCGGTGGCAGGACGAAGCGAGGAGGAGTGAGGAGCACGGCGGAGCCGTCCCTCGACGCAGGGCATGAAAGGCGGCGAAGGCGCGGGAGGGAGGGCAGGAAGCGACGCAGGAAGACCGTGCTGAGACATGTAACGCAGGCGTGGGAGTGCGGGGTGATCTAGGCGGTGGTGCCACAGAAGCGACGGGCGAGTGAGCGACCAACACGATCTGGGTAGACGCATGACCCAAGGAGGACGCCCCACCCAGGGGGGAAGCAATGTCCATCGTAAAGAGGCCAGACACCGGGTCCCGAGGGAACGTCGCTAGGGGGGAACCTAAGGCGGCCTCGGTACAGACGGCGCACCGCTCGTGACCCGGGAATGTCGTGGTGACGCCGAGCTCCTGAAGACAACCGACACTGACTAATTTCCGGGAGAACGAGGGGATGTGCAGGCCTGTAAGGGATCCTAAGGGGACCGCTGGACAGGGAAGGGTATTGTAGCTGCGAGCAACTACAGGACCAGAGGAGGGGTCTGCAAGTGTGACAGCGGCAGGCGCGGCAAGCGGCGTAAGCGCAGCATGGTCGCGGAAGAAGCAGGCAGACGCATCGGAGTCAAGTGTTCAAGGACTGCAAAGTAGTAGCGGCAGACGAAGGAGGAGCGAGTGTGGAGCCTAGACTAGACAAAGCAAACGGTCCTACGCCTGATGTAGCACGGGTCTCTGTACTACACACAGGTTCTACGCCTAAGCTAGAGAACAAAGGGTAATAAGATCCGGACACACTAGAAGTGTCAGCATACAGAGAATGCAAGGCAGAACTAATCTAATCCATGTCCAAGTCAAAGACAGGCACACCGTGGCGCAGCGGACTGGGCCAGTCAGGGAGGTCTGGGGCCGGGCCGAAGCGGGGACTAAAGAGGTCATCGAGGCGGTGGAAGCAGCGGGCGGTCACGTGCGGACGGTGACACACAGTGCCATGGAGGGGCCCGGTCTGGAGCTGGTACTTGCAGCCCATAGCACCGAAGCCGCCGGTAGACGCCGAGCTGCGAGGACCACTACCACAGCCCCCCCCTCCAGGGGCTCCCGGCCATCCCTGCAGGAGGTGGGCCCACGGCTGTTGCTGTTGCTGTTGCTGCTGCTGCTGCGGCGGCTGCTGCTGCGACTTCTGCGGCTGCTGCTGCTCCTGGACGCCTGCCCCAGCCCCCTCGTCAAAACCACTATCGCGGCCACCACCACCACGCCCTCCCTTGGGGCCGCGACGGCCCCAACGCTGTCGCTGCTACTGCTACGGGAAGGCCGCCGCTGCTGTCTCAGCGGCAGGATCAGCAGTAGCGACTGCAGCGGAAACGTCAGCGTATGTGCACTGGGAGGGAGCACAGCCCAGAAAGATACGGACTTCCGCAACACCGCTCGACTGAGCGATATTGCGCTGGCGAGTCTCTATCTCAGAAAGGGCAGCGACAAAAGCGGTCAGGGTGAGGTCACCAGAGTGGTGGCTAAGGAAGTGGTCGCAGGCAATGGCTAAGCGGTCAGGCAGGTGCATGGCAATAAGGTACAGGGTAGCGCAGAACGGCAGGGGGAAGGCAGTGAGTTGGGCAGTAGTGCTAGCAGCGCGATAGCTAGTCTCTAGTGCACAGAGGTGAGTGGCGAGATCAGCGACAGTGGGGAAAGCAGAGAGATCAGGGAAGAGCATGGGGAGGATCAAGCGTCCAACTGAGGCGGAGGCAGGCATGAAGTAGCGTGCAATAACTGCATCTAGGAAGTCTTTGGCATTTGCTACAGCAGTGAAGCGGGGACGCTCAAATAGGGGAAGCGCATGACTGATGGCAAGCTGCGCTACACCATCGCGAGAATCCCAGACAACGTGAGCGAGTGAAATAGCAGCAAAGGCCTCACTCTCAGCAGTGGTGGGATCAGCAGGGAGGGGATCAGGCGCGGAGGGGCGGGGAAGCAAGCGATTAACATGCATAGCCAGGGAGTGCCTATCATGGCGCTGACCTGTTAGGTGACGGCAAAGATCGACAAGCCAGGCGGCGAAGTCGATCGCGTGCCTCTTTGTGTCCAGACGTAGCATGGCGTCCACCATCGCGTAACCTCAGCGGCACGTGGACACAGCGGCACAGCGGCATAGGGACACAGCGGCGCAGCGGCACAAGGACACACGTACTCAGCTCTACGGCGAGACAACGACGTGGCAGCAGGATTCTCCAAAACAGGGACCGGGCGCGCGAGGAGGTGGAGGGCACGCAAGGGGGGGGCGAACAGGCGGTAGGGGCTGGCTAGGCGGTAGAGGGACTGGCGGCGGCGCGAGAAAGGGCCGGCTAAGCTCGAGGGGGCAGCTGGGCGCGAGGTGCCGGCTAGGGCGCGAAGGGCCGGCGAGGGCGCTAGGGGCTGGCTAGTGCACGAGGGGCCGGCTGGGTGCGCGGGGCCGGCTGGACGTGAGGAGCCGGCTGGGCGCGAGGGGCCGGCTAGGGCGCAAAGGGCCGGCTAGGGCGCGAGGGGCCGGCTAGGCACGAGGGGCTGGCAACGGCGCGAGGAGCTAGCTAGGGTGCGAGGGGCCGGCGACGGCGTGAGGGGCCGGCTAGGGCGCGAGGGGCCGACTAGGGCGCGAGGGGCCGGGGACGGCGCGAGGGGTGGCGGCTAGGCACGAGGGGCCGGTTGGGCGCGAGGGGCCGGCGGCGGCGCGAAGGGCGAGCTAGGGCGCGAGGGGCCAGCGACGGCGCGAGGGGCTGGCGACGGCGCGAAGAGCCAGCTAGGCGCGAAGGGGCCGGCTAGGCGCGAGGGGCCAGCTAGGCGCGAGGGGCCATCTACGGCGCGAAGGGGGCCGGCTCGGCGCAAATGGGCCGGCTAGGCACGAGGGGCCAGCTAGGCGCGAGGGGCCAGCTACGGCGTTAGAGGGGCCGGGTGGGCGCAATAGGGGCCGGCGAGGCACGGTAGCCTAGGGCGCGGGGCGGAAGCGGGTGGGGGGGGACATAACCTACTCATAATACCATGTTAGAATGCTAGAATGATTAGAAACAAGGGTGAAGGGAAAAATTGGGTTGGAGTTGTACTTTCTAAGAATATACACCTATCTAGCCTATAAATTCTACATACTAACATATGTATAAGTTGACACACCCTATATGCCCTTGCCTAGTCTAATGCACGAATTTGAGAGACGTGTGGTTTGTAAAATGGCATGGAGCGCACACATCTAGGCATGAAACTGCAAGGCGGGCAAAATGTATGTGGCTCGTCAGGAGACCACATGTGGGTGCCGCGATTTGAATTTCGTGGCAGACTACATGGCAACCCGGTTTTAGCAGTGTACGCCTGATTGACTAAAACCTGGGAACAGGGCTTCAGAAGTCAGGACAAAATGCCCTGAAATGCTGTATATCAGGGTGTTTTTTTAGGGTCGTCCTGTTTTTTCAGTTTTTGATTTTTCCTAGGCCTGAATTTTAGGGGTTGTCATTTGAGCAGGCCTGAAATATTGTATGTTCTTGTTTTTGTCACCCTGAATTATCAGCCTTAACGGATTTCCAGCCTGAAACAAAAATCTATCTGACTGGTCGAGGCGAGCTGGAGCAGCTGTGAGGGGCGTGTCTTTTCCTTAGCCAAAATGACGCAGGTGACGCAAGCTGGAGCACATGTGAGGGGCGTGATTGGTCCATCGCCAAAATCACGCAGGCAGTTTGACACGAGCTGGAGCACATGTGAGGGGCGTGACTGGACCTTAGGCAAAATTACGCAGGTAACGCGCGTTGGAGCAGATGTGAGGGGCGTGATTGATCCTTCGCCAAAATCACGCAGGCTGTCTGACGCGAGTTGGAGCAGGTGTGAGGGGCGTGAATGGTCCTTGGCTAAAATCACGCTAGTGTGAGAATTTGTACGCAATGAAGTCCGATATGATCTAAGAATCATAAACCTAAAAAATGTACCTGATGAGTCAGGCTTATTGTTTTTTTCTCTGACAAAACATGCCATGTCTAACATAATGTGCTAGGTTAAAATCCTACCCACCCTAAAAAATCGTCAAGGTTCAACCTATCATCTCAGCTCTGAAAAATTTCAGTCCTGATTTTTCAGCCTTAAAAAATGTTTACCCTGAAAAAAATTGCAACTTCCAAAACCCGACCCTGAAAAACGGGGGTTCCTTCTGGGGGCACCCTGAGCCAACAGCCCCTCAAAATCCAATCTGAAGCCCTGCTTGGGAATACCATTTCCTTACATTAATCTAGAAATGGGTTTTTTTTTGTAAACGCAGTCTGGTTCTGTACACGTTGCACAGGCGGCTGTGGTTTGACTCGACTGGTGGTGGTTGTCGCATCGCGTTGGCGGTGGTATGACTGAAAATCTGCGAGGAAGGATCATAATGTCGGCTGGACCCTTGCCTTGCCAGCTGAGCCGGAACGGTTGGACGCAATGCTTCGACTTCAACATTCGACGCCTTGGCGAGAGGGGTTAGCACGACAGCGCAAGCAACCGCTCTGTTTACATCTACACCACCTGCCACCCAGATATATATCTCGAAATTGAGGTTCGAGGTTCCGGCAATCCCCCGTGAAGTACATTGCCCAGAAGCTCATTCTGACTAGGTCAACGGTTAGACCTTTCTCCGGTTGCCGCTTGCCCGGTGCCTTCGCGGTGAACTGGTGGCCCACGGCAGAGCCAGGGGCTGGTAAACAGAGGCTGGACATGCGAGAATCGTGATTGACTGACGATGTTTTTTTGCCCCATGGAGTGATACTGGATCCGACGGTAGCACACGGCCCAACGGGTCACTCCCTCTCACGCCGTAAGTCGCGGGAAACCCTTGTGATATCGAGTCACTTGGTCGCATCTGATCGTCGCTGCCGTGCATCGCGCCCCTCGCCCTCCCTTCGCCCCTCCCGCGCCGCTCTCATGTCGGCCCTGGACTGCCGTCCTCATCGCGCCGCCCGCTCGCACTCTTCGCGCCCCCCGGTGGCGCCGCTGCCCTCGGCTGACGTGGCGCCTGCGCCGCATCGCCGCGCGATTGCCTCCCCGCCATGCCCGTCGCACCGCCTCTCGCTTCCGCCTCTCGTCCTGCGTCGCCCTTCCCCACCGTCCCTCGCCCCCGCCGCTCTGTCTTGCCGTGCGCAGCCCACAGCACCCTGCCCCGCGTCACTGCCCCCTTCCCCGCCTCCCCCTTCCGTCCCCCAAGTCAACTCCCCTCGCCATCCTGGTGCCGCGTCGTCGGAATTTCTCGCGCCGGGCCCGGCGCCAGCTGGGGAGCTGGGAGCGCCGCCGCCCACCAGCGCACGAGAGGCAAGCGCGGCGCCACGGGGTTGCACCGCGTGCGTGGCTCTGCACGGGCATGCGGGGGAGGCGGCGTGCGCAGCGTGCGGGTGGAGGCAGCGGCTGCGCGCGCTGCTGGCGTCTGCCGCCACGAGTGCCGGCGGAGGGAGGAAGAGTAAGGGGCAAGGGGCGGCGGCAGGCGCGCATGGGCGGCACGGCGACGTGCTGCTGCGGGTGTGGGAGGAGCAGCGGCGACCGCCGCCACGCCCCCAGCACGCGGTGCCGTGCGCGCGGGCGTGCGAGGACGGCAGTGCCGCGTGTGACGCACGTGGTGCGTCAGCAGGGCGGAGTGCACCCCACATGCCGCTGCCTGCACCGCGTGCCACCGCCTGTGCCCAGCGCGTGTGCGGTGCAGCGGCTGGGGGCGAGTGGTGCACAGGCGGAGGGCGCCATGTCGACGCTCACGTGCACGCATCACAGGTGCGCTGCTGTGCTGCCCGTGCCACCATTCCACGTGCCCTCGTCTCCCCCCACACCACGTGCAGTACTCCATCGCGCCCATTGCGCCCTTCCCCTCCACCCTCATGCCGCCCATTCACGCCCCGCTCCCGCCCTCGTCCGCGCACCATCTGCACTCCTCGCATCACTTGGCCCTCTCTCACGCCCTCCCTCCTCGTCCTCCCCACGCCTTGCCCTGCCAGGCGCCACCAGCGGTGCTCGCACAGCAGCCCACAGAGGCGAGGCGGGTGGCAGCAGAGGCGGCAGGGGAGGCGAGTGCGCCATGCCTCGTGCTGCCTCGTGGCGTCAGCCCTGAAGTGCTGCTCGCCTCGCCCGCACTGCCGCCCACTCAGGTCACCCACGTGCATCCACTGTAACCCCTTTATCCTTTCGACTTTCGTCGTTTTCTCCATCCCCTCCCTCCCATGTCCCTCTCACCACTCCCTCTTCTTCCCTCCCTCTGTCCCCCTCTCCCTCTCTACCTCTCTGCATCAGCCTCGTGTGACCATGGTCTCCTCTCACACTCACGCACTCACTCACCTTTGGTGCTCCTTCTCTGTTCTCTCTATTCCTCCCGTCCCTTGCGTTGGACCACCCATGCTCCCTACTCCCCCTTCAGGACGCCTTTCTTCACTCCACTTTGCCCACATTGTGCCATGCTGCTGCCACTGCTGCAACCACCCTCGCACAGCACCACACACAGCAGCAGCAGCTGCGTGCACCCGTGCCCATTTCTTGTGAGCGCACCAGTGCCACTCATTCCCACCTGCGAGCTCCCTCCCACGCGCTCACTGTAGAGCCTCCATCCGCGTGCTCTGCCGGCGCGCGTGCAGCGGGAGAGGGGCAGCAGGGGCCACGCCATGAGGGCATGCCTGATGCTGGCAGGGGCAGTGACCTGGGGGGAGGGGTTCGGCACAAGAAAGCGGGGGGAGAGGGATGGGTGGGGATGCAGAGTCACGGGATGCTTGGCAGGGCGGAGGAGCTGGAGGCACGCATGGCAGGCGAGTATGGTGGTGGGCCGATGCTGGGGGAGGGCACACAGGGGGCGATGAAGGAACAGCCGAGTGGTGATGGGAGAGCACGTCCTGGGAAGGGGGCATTGAGCAGTGAGGCTGCCGGGACTGCCATTGATGCACGCCGGAAGGCAGGGACGATGGGTGGTGCATGCAAGGTGCTGAAGCGGGCACAGGGAGATGCGGGAGTGGCAGGAGGGGAGGGCGGCAGGGGCGATGAGAGAGCAAACAGCAAGAGGTGAGGTGTGGGTGCTTGGGATGATACGGATGTGCCTTCTGGGCCTTTTTAAAATTGACAGGCTGAAATGAGCGATGTGTAATATTTTGGTAAGATGTGTTAATGCATGGCGTTTATCGGTGCTGTTGCCTTGTGTCCCTGCCTTCATGGCGCTGCCCCAATGCAGGCTCTGTGCAGCCCAGGCTGTGCCTGGCCAGCCATGCTCCACCAGTGCTGTGGAGGGGAATAGGCAGCAGCCTGGGGTGGTGGGAGCGAGGCAGTGCGAGCAGCAAGGGAGTGAGGTGCAGGGCCGAGGCAAGGGGAAGAGAGTGGAAGTGCGTGTGCCGTGTGAGGAGGAGGTGATAGAGGATGGGTACAGATGGCGCAAGTACGGACAGAAGGTGGTGCGAGGAAACACATACCCTCGGTGAGTCTTGACATGCTTTCATCCGTCCGTGCATTTCTCTTGCTGCTTGGTCGATTTTAATCTGCTGTGTCACCTCTGCCTCTCTCCCCCACTCCTCTTGACGCATGGGCATCAGGAGCTACTTCAGGTGCACCCATCCTGGGTGCACAGTGCGCAAGCACGTTGAGCGAGCCAACCAGCCGCCCTTTGACATGGTAACCACGTACGAGGGCCGCCACAACCACAACCTGCCTTCAGACAAGCAGGGCCACGTGTACATGTGCTTTGAGGGGGAGGGGGTTTTCACTGTGTCTGCTGTGCCCATGAGGTGTGCTGCCACAAGAGGGGCAGAGAGCAGTGGGCACGAAGGGGAGGAAAGTATGACGGGGGTCATGCAAGGATTGTAGGGATCGCAAGAAGCATTTGATAAGGCAGCAACAGTCTTGTGTTATCTTCGTAACCTTCCGACAAAAGGACCCTGTAGTCTTATTCAGAATTCATAGAGAAAGTGTCATACATATTTTGTATGTCCCTCACTTGCTGGCCCCTCGCTTGCTGGCCCCTCGCTCGCCGGCCCCTCCCTCACTAGCCGGCCCCTCGCTCGCTGGCCCCTCGCTCCTCGGCCCCTCGCTAGCCTGCCCCTTGCTCGCCGGCCCCTTAGCTTGCCGGTCCCTCGCTCCCTGGCCCCATTTCGCATTGACCCCGGTCCCACTTGTTAGGATACGAGAATAATCACTAGAAGGTGAAACAAGGAACATATAGCTATTGGGTTGTACTCCCTAGGAGCACACTTCGATACTAGCCTATAACTTCTACATGCATGACATGTGTTGGAAATATCTCAAAGGACTTAAGCGTTTCTGAAGTGTAACACTACACTCGAGGAAGATCACAACGGGTACGCGAGTCAACGGAGGTTACACGAGGGGGAAGACAAAGAACGCGAAGGGACCTGAAGGGTCGCAACTGGAGGTTGCGACTGACCGTTACAACAGCGCAAATGGTAACCGAAGCAACAATCGAGTCGCTGTGCGACTCGATAACCGCACCTGCAACTGTATTCTACAACTGCTTTACTTTCCTACTTTTTCTAATATATTGCTGTATGCTTGTCTCTTTAATTAATCACTTGTTCTCATATACTAGTACAAGGGTTCAACAACTCAACTTCCGCTGCACTACTCAAGTCTCATTCTACAACTGGGACTTAGTCTCTGGAAAGATCCTAAGGGCTTTTCTCAGCCCAACATGGTATGAGAGCTGGTCAGAGACCAAACTCCCAGCAACGACACTCTATCTACAATCTGCAATTCAACGACTTCATTAATTACAAGCCATGGACAGCAAGGGCAAGAAGACCTCTACGGGCTCACCCAGCGCCCAAGACATTCAACCCGGCAACTCTGGATTGCATACTTCAGGACTGCAAACCGAGACCGGCGCTGCTCAAGAAACAACAGGAAGAGCACCGGAAATGGTGACCCCATCACCCTCTTCAAGCGTGGATCCGAACCTTATGGAAAGGTTCTTCAGCTTCATGTCGCACTTCGACCAGCAGCAGCAGACAAGGACACCTGCGCATTCAACACAGAGCAACGGAGGAAACATGGGATTAGCGCCGATGAGCCTCGACAATTCATCATTCGGACGACACAATCAAGCGCCTACCTTTGCGCCTTATCACTCTTCACCGGGGACGTTCGAGTTCATGCCGCCCCGTGCCCAACCAACAGCAGCTGCATCACAACAAACACCAAACGAGATTTTAAGTCTTCAGGCGCAGTTTTCACACGTGATCAAACTGCAGACATCATCACCATTCAACGGACACGATTTCTTTACCTGGAGTTTTGAGTTCGAGCTGCTGATGGAGGCTGCGCATCTCCTGGGATACTTCAACGGGTCCCTGCCATTCCCAAGCAACGGCACTGCAAAGGAACAAGAAATATTTACTTATCAGTCGCTGCTGGCGTACACAGTTCTCCTGCGGAACCTGTCACCACAAGAACAGCAGAGCATCAGAACATATCGGAGCTATGGAAACTCCGCGGAACTCGCATGGCATCATCTCAAGTGCCTCTATCAAGCAAACGACAGCGTGACACAAAGCAGACTCATGCAACAACTGACAACAATACAGATGAAGACCAGGGAAAAGGCGATGCAGTATATGAGTCGCTGCCAGACCCTCCGCGACCGCCTGCTTCGGTGCGGAGGAACAATCACTGAGGAAAGCTTCGTGACGCTTGTCCTCGCCGGGCTCGGGCCAGAATGGAGGACCACACGCATTAGCAGTCATCAGACAAGAAAGACAAGTACCAGCAAGTGTCCCTTCCCAACAATCACCTGCAGTAGCAGCAGCAGGACCCAGCCGAGTACCACCACCAGCGATCCGAGGACCGCCAACCGAAGCAGATCAACTTACGCCCATCACACGAGAAGTCTGTCGAAGCCCCGCCACGGTCGTCGCGTTCTTCTCCAACACCGACATATACCACCGCTCACCCGGCCATCGCGCTCCCGACGACATCTGGCACCAACGACTCGGGCACCCTGCAAACAGCACAATACTACAAACCATCCAAGCCGAAGTGTTAGAACGCAACGCTCTCCTAACAACAAGCGGCCAAGAACTTCGACGACCACGCGCACGGTGCTTTACGTGCCCCGAGGCCGATCTTCCCCACCAGTCTTTCCCATCTCATCACAACCCAAGCGCACCTGCATACGCACCGATGGAAAAAGTCTACAGCGACATTTTAAACATGCCTCGAGAAGACGCTGAAGCCGACTTCAACTATGTCATCACGTTTATCGACGCAGCAACAAGATACGTCTGGCACTATAACCTCAAGACGCGCGATCAAGCCTTCGACGCCTTCACAACATGGCTACCCATCGCCGAACGAGAATCCGGAACCAAGCTCAAGAGCTTCCAGTCAGACGGTGCACTGGAATACCAGTCACAACGCTTCAGGACCTATCTGGCGGAAAGGGGAATGAGACGCCTGGTGTCTCTACCCTACGCTCACTAGCAGCAGGGGGTCGCAGAACGCATGAACCGGACCTTGCAGACGACGATGCGAAAGCTGCTCCTGGGGATGAGACTACCCACCACACTGTGGCCAGACGCGATGACACATGCAGTCCACCTGCACAACCTGTTGTCCTCGTCATCGCTCCCCAACAACGCATCACCACACCTGCTGTGGACACAAAAAAGGGGCAGCACAAAATTACTTCGAGTTTTCGGCTGCATGGTACAGTACAGACCCCACACAGCCCGTGCAGGACGGTTCACTCAACGAGCTCGATGGGGACTACACCTTGGCATCGCAAAACATTTTCATGCATGGAAAATCCTCGACATCCAAGACAAAAATACAGTGGCATCACGTGATGTTATCTTCTACGAGCGACTGACGCTGCAGCATTACCTGGACAACATTGCCAACACACACGACCCCACCGACGGCTTCGCGGGCCTTCGTTCCTTCGCCGACCGTGCTGCCAAGGCTGACGCAGCAGAAGAAGACGTACCTGGAGCCTCGGAAGCTGCCGGACCACTCCCTTTCTGTTCCGTACCTGTTCCACTCGACAACGACAATCCTCTCGATAGTAACAACCTCGACACCTTTTACCACTTCGCTGACCAAGGTTACATTACTCCCCACCCGGTCGACACAAATGTTTCAGAACGCATCGGCCCCAACTTCTTACCTGATCCAGAAGACGGTGACGAAGCAGCTTATTCCGGGAATGAAAATTCCCCTCGACACACACCCACGGGACTGCAGATCCTCGGCCTATGGGTCTCCGTTCAGCATCCGCCGCCGCCATCTCCGCGCGAGCCCTCGACCTTGTCGCAGGCTCTGGGGGGGGAACATAAGGCGAAATGGAAGGAAGCGATGGAAAAGGAGCTAAAGGCTCTGCAAGACCGAAACACATGGAAGCTGGTACCTGCAACAAGCATCAACGGGAAGAACGTCCTCTCGGGGAAATGGGTGTACCGCTTCAAGACCAACGCGGACGGCTCCATCGACCGATTCAAAGCTCGATGGGTCGTACGAGGTTTCGATCAACGATACGGAACCGACTACACAGAAACTTTCGCCCCAGTCTCCCGTCACACCTCCCTGCGCATCCTACTCGCTGTCGCAGCCACGAAGAAACTACCACTGCGCCAAATCGACGTCGCAAATGCCTTCCTGTACGCACCTGTGGACGCCGAAATCTTCGTCGAGCAGCCCCACGGTTTCATCGACGACCCTACAAAAGTATGCCAGCTAATAAAATCCCTCTACGGGATCAAACAAGCTCCGCGGCTGTGGCAGCAGCATCTTCACGGCCGCCTCGTCAGAATCGGCTTCCTACAACTACCGCACGACCAAGGCATGTATCGACTACAGAAGGAAGGAGCCTTTATCCTTCTCATCGTCTACGTCGACGACCTGCTCTACATCGGCTCCACTACCGACATCGCCACCTGGTTCGAAGGGGAGCTGAAAGAAGACTTGACACTCACGGTGTCCGACGCAGTAACCCAGTACCTGGGACTGAATGTCGTCGAAGACAACTCGGCGTTCTACCTACACGCTGGAAAGTACGCAGGCACCGTCGCGAAGAAATTCGGTCTAACGCCGACTACGGTCCCAACTCCCTACCGCTACGGGAACAACAACAGCACCTCCGCAAAACTCCCCGCGAAGCAAATCCAGGAATATCAACAGAAGCTCGGCTGCCTACTATTCGCAGCAGTAACCTGCCGACCCGATCTCTCTTATAGCGCGAGCCAACTTGCGACGCATCTGAAGCAGCCGGAACAGGAAGATCTCGAGGAGCTCAACCGGGCACTACTCTACTTCGTCTCCACGCCGACGAACGGACTTACCTACAGCAAAGTAACAACACCGTCCGTACGACTACTCGGATACGTCGACGCCGACCACGCGGGAGACAAGGAAAATCGACGGTCAAGAACGGGCTACATCTACCGACTAGAACCTATCGGGACTATCTCCTGGCAGTCGAGCAAACAGGAACTAATCGCACTATCTTCGGCTGAAGCAGAATATATCGCCCTTTGCACTGCGACCAAGGAAGGACTCTACCTACGAGAGTTGCTCGAGGAAGCGAAGATCGCGACCCTGCCCGTCTTCTCACTCCTCTGCGACAACCAATCTGCGATCAAAATCACGAACAAGGACGGCTTCGCCAACCGAACCAAACACATTGCCCTGCGGTATTTTTTCGTCAAAGATGAAATCGCGAAGGGGAGACTTCAACTCAGTTACTGCCCTACAACAGAAATGGCCGCAGACTACCTGACAAAGAAACTGGCGAAGGCGAAGTTCGATTACTGCATGCTGCTGACCGGGCAGACAAACGTCACCGGATCTGAACACGTCAGCACTCCAGAAACGATGGGGAGTGTTGGAAATATCTCAAAGGACTTAAGCGTTTCTGAAGTGTAACACTACACTCGAGGAAGATCACAACGGGTACGCGAGTCAACGGAGGTTACACGAGGGGGAAGACAAAGAACGCGAAGGGACCTGAAGGGTCGCAACTGGAGGTTGCGACTGACTGTTACAACAGCGCAAATGGTAACCGAAGCAACAATCGAGTCGCTGTGCGACTCGATAACCGCTCCTGCAACTGTATTCTACAACTGCTTTACTTTCCTACTTTTTCTTATATATTGCTGTATGCTTGTCTCTTTAATTAATCACTTGTTCTCATATACTAGTACAA